GACCTCCCGGGCTGGTTATGCCCGAGCCTCGGTCCCGCGTAGACCGCGCGTAGGGAAGGCGCCAGGGAGTACTGCCAGCCCCACCCCCGTTTTTCCCGCCGTTTAGTAGGTAACCCTTAAACCAGGGGGAACAGCCCGGTCACCGTGCGCCCCTTCCTGCTAAGAAGCTTTATCGGCTTCTCAGAATTTGGACTGCAGGATCAGGGCAAAATCCTGGTTCCCGGGACCGATGGGCACCGCGTCCTGGGCTTGGGCACCGTGGGCCACGCTGCCCAGACCCGTAAGCTGGAGGTCTGGAGCCTGAAGCAGAAGTTTGGGGAAGTTCTCAGCCTCCTTTAGAGCGAGTGCCTGGGCTTTCTCGAGGTTTCTCAATGATATCCATCGGCTCTTGTGCTGCCCGCCTTCCCGACCTCGCTCATGCCTTTGAAGAGACCCCCGTGCATGAAGTTCTAGGCTAGAGCTTCTTGGGGTCTCCCTGTTGTAAAGACACCCTTGTGCCTGCCGGGAGCAAAGCTGCAGGTAGAAAACCTTGCCTTGGTAAAAGCACCGGACACTTGTCATTGTTCCTCCTCGTTTGATTCAGTTCTCAGAGTTGTTGGTCACTTCTGTCCCTTCGTGGACATCAAGGGAAAAGGAGAGGACACATCTGATTATTATCGGAGTTCGGACGGCTTCAGATGTGTTTTGTTGGAATCCGACTGGCGTGGATAGTAACTCTGATGCAGGCAGGTTGCTAAGTTCTCAGAGTCTCTGTGACTGGATGGTACTTAGCTAGAAGTGAAGCTTGTAGGAACTTGAACAGTGTGTGGAATCTACTAACGATCAATAAATGTTTCTTTTCTTTCCCACTCCCTTCTGAGCGGACTCCATTTTGTAAGGGAGAAGGTGAAGGGCAGAATAATTCCTAGGAAGGGCATGAGTGGTAACTTAAACTGTTCTATGAGAAAGCAGTACATAAGTGAAATACTTGGGAATTTGGAGCTGTAGGTATAAGTCCATATTTCTTAAATAGTAAAATTTTTTTTTCCTTTTTCTTTTTTTCTTTTTGGAGAGGTTTTTGCTATAGGGCACATGCACTTGCCAGACAGAGAGAGAGAGAGAGACAGAAAGTGAGAAATCACCCCCCATGGGGGATGGCCACACTGCAATCCCTTCTCCTCCGTTTTCCTTTCGGGATCTTGGGCAAGCACGTACGCACACGTGCTGGGTGTGAATTTTAAGCCACCGGGTCCGGGACGCGAACCGCGGTCGACTACATGGGAGTCCAGCGACATAGCCATTATGCTATCTGCTGGTCCCATAAATTTTTTAACACATGTTTTTCAGACCAGAGACTGTCTAGGGCCCTTCTTTGTGATTTCTCATTGAAAAATGTAGCTGAGGTTACTGACCCTGAAGTTTAGAAATTTATCGTGTTTTTTATTTATTTATTTTTAAGAATTATTTTATTTAACTTTGTTAATTTGACCAGAGAGGGATAGAGTGAGAGAGGGAGACGGAGAAAACCTCAGTGGTCCATGTGGGAGTCCAGCACCCTTAATCACCATGCCACCTGCCGGCTTGAGATCTGTGGTTTCAATATTGTTGGGTTGAGTCAGAAAGTAGATGTACCCAAATGCTTTTCTCAACTTCTGTCGTGTGCTTTCCTTCTAGACCCAACATGAGTGAAGTTTCTTGCAAAAAACGAGATGATTATTTGGAATGGCCTGAGTATTTCATGGCAGTGGCCTTCTTGTCAGCCCAGAGAAGCAAAGATCCAAATTCCCAGGTAATATAGTTTTGTAGGAGAATGCTTGGATACTCACGAAGAGATGCCTGTGAATGAGCCAGGAGGCTCCTTGGGCCCCTGGTTAAAAAGCAGAGTACACGGGACCAGCAGTTAGCGTAATGGCTATGTTGCTGAACTCCCATGTAGCCGACTGTGGTTCGAGTCCCGGACCCAGTGGCTTAAACTCACGCAGGGCACGTGTGCATGCCTGCCCAGGATCCTGAGAGGAGAGTGGAAGAGAGGGGTTTGCGTGGCCATCCCCCCTAGGGGCTGATTTCTCGCTTTCTATCTCTCTGTCTCTCTCTTTCTGGTGAGTCATGCACCGTATAGCAAAAACCTCTTCAAAAAAGAAAGTACATCTGCCTCCTTCTGTGCTGCATTTCTGCATGCTCACCTCTTCTTGTGAGGGAGTAATTGTCATATACTGTGGTTAACTGTCTCTGTGCCCCCTCTGGAGCTGGGGTGCACTTTCCTTGGCTTGTGGAAGCTGCCTTAGAATATAGACAGGAGACGGAGCTCTTGGCACCTGTGGCAGCCACATGCCAGCTATGAGCTCTGCAGTCCTCTGCGGTTCGTTCACTGCCTACCCAGGGGCAGACCAGCACTTGGCAGTCACCAAGCCTTTGGACATGTTTCCCCGTAGGTTGGAGCCTGCATTGTGAATGCAGAGAACAAGATTGTCGGGATCGGGTACAATGGAATGCCAAATGGGTGCAGCGATGACCTGTTGCCTTGGAGGAGGACAGCAGAGAACAGGCTGGACACCAAATACCCTTACGGTAGGTCCCCACCTTTTACTTCACCCTACTTAGGAACATTGCCTGGTGAGGGCTAGATTAAGGAAGTTGGTCAGAGCAGTTAGCGTAATGGCTATGTCGCTGGACTCCCATGTAGTTGACTGCGGTTCGCGTCCTGGACCCGGTGGCTTAAAACTCACGCCGGGCGCGTGTGCGTGCATGCCCAAGATCCCGAGAGGAGAATGGAGGAGAAAGGATTGTGGCGTGGCCAACCCCCTGGGGGGTGATTTCTCACTTTCTGTCTTTCTCTCTCTCTCTGTCTGTCTGGCGAGTGCACGCGCCTTATGGCAAAAACCTCTCCAAAAAGAAAAAAGAAAGTTGGTCAGAAGTCATCAGCTCCCTTTTCCGTCACTGACTAGAAAGAAAAATCCTGTTGAACCCTTTATTTCCTGTCTCTGTCTCTTAAGTTCCAAAGAGAACCTAGAGAAGCCTGGGAGTGGACACACAGCCTGGTCCTGAGGTACAGGCTCTGCTGCCTGGGATGGTCCTGGTGTGTTTTACTGGTGGCCTGCTGGCCCATACAGCACAGAGCCTCACAGTTGGGCTTCCCTGCAGAGGGCCGTGGCCCCTGGCAGAGGTAGGCAAGGTGTTCCTGTGGCTCTACTACTCGGGAGCAGAGTCAGCTGACCAAGTGAGGCTGGAGCTCTGCCCTGAGGAGAAGCAGGCTTCATTCAGCCCCTCCGTGTGATGAGGACACCCAGTTCATGTTTGGGCAGCAGGCCTCCAGATTATTAGCCAGACCTCAGGAGGTGGGCAGTCATGTGCTCCTGTTCTGTGCAATTCCACAGGGCTCTCTAATCGGTCCCAAAACCAGAATTGTGAAATTGAAAACCTTTGGGTTTTCACCTTGAAATAGGGGAAGGTATCTCAGAATTTGTTGCCTGTTTGGGACCGGCAATTGGCTTAATGGCTGTGTCGCTGGACTCCCATGTAGGTGACTGCGGTGAAAACCTTTGGGTTTTCACCTTGAAATAGGGGAAGGTATCTCAGAATTTGTTGCCTGTTTGGGACCGGCAATTGGCTTAATGGCTGTGTCGCTGGACTCCCATGTAGGTGACTGCGGTTTGAGTCCCAGACCTAGTGGCTTAAACTCACACCGGGTGCGTGTGCGTGCATGCCCAAGATCCTGAGAGAATGGAGGAGAAGGGATTGCGGCATGGCCATTCCCTTCCTGGGGGTGGTTTCTCACTTTCTGTCTCTCTGTCTGTGTTTTTCTGGCAAGCGCACATGCCCTATAGCAAAAACCTCTCCAAAAAAAAGAAAAAAATTGTTGCCTGTTTGAACCTCAGGAGAATCCCTTAAGAAACTGTCTGGGAGGGGCAAGTGGGAGCTCCCCTTGTCTTTATTTCCTGGAGAATATACAACTGATGCCGTAAAAGAGGCAGATTGGGTTTCATATACTGGTTATGATTTTCATAATGTTAGGCCTGTCTTTATGTCTGAAAATGAGCAGACCCGCTCTGTTGGAAGTCAAGCAGATTAAGGCCATCCAAATGGGAAAGCTCGTGCCTTCAGGAAAGCAAGTTCAAGGCACGATGGGAAACCTTTCTTCTTTGTTGACTCTTCCCTACTAGGTTTTCCTCTGGGTTTTTCTCAGGAAGAATTCAAAGTCTGCACTTAGTCTAATTTATATATTTTTACTAATGTTCCTGGACCTTAATCATGTTAAATAAGCTGCAGAAATTTCCTTTTTAAACTGCTTAAGTATTCCTCTTCCATGTTGGAAAGAAAAAGAAAAAAAGTGCCTGGAACTAGAGAAGGAATTGCGGAGTGAGGATAGGGAGAACTACAGAGCACTTGGGGTTTTTGGGTGTACAGAATATAGTGATTCACGGAATTAACAGTCAGATTACTTTTGGGGCCGACAGGCGGCGTGGTGGTTAAGGGCGCTGGACTCCTATAAGGCCGACTGTGGTTCGAGTCCCAGACCTGACGGTTTGCTTTCTCACACTTGCCCCACCACTCATCCCTTTGAATGAATGAATAAATAAATAAATAAAGTTAAATGAAGTAATCTTTTAAAAAAATAGATTACTCTCACCCTTTGTTGGAATAGGAAAAGCAAGATCAGGGTTGGGAGACTCTAAAATTGCCTTCTGGGTCCTAGCTTTAAGGCTGATGGTAGTGAGTGACTTGCAAAATGTGCTAACATGCTTTAGAAACTTGTCATCCTGGCTTTGACTCTGGAAGCTCTTGATGTTAAGAAAGAAGGGAAATGGTTCATTGTTTTTAGGTCCACATAAAGATACATTTTCACAATACATTCAATGTCCCATATGAAAGTGGTAAAACGAAAGAGACAGATAAGTTAAAGACCTACACTGAAATGGATGAGCACTACAGTCAGTATTCCACCAAGCCAGCACATGGAAATACTGGTTTTGCTGCTGAGTTCTGATGTGGAGAAATCCGTAGGAGGTATCAGTCTGTCGTATCGAGTCCAGTTGCAAAGGATACTAGTGGTTGGACCAGCATAGAGGGGTCCTCAGTGGTCTCTGAGCAGTTGTCTCAGTGGGACCTCTGTCTTCTTTAGTCACCATGAGCCCCAGAGAATTGTAGTACATTCATACCCCTGTCCGCCTCCCCTGTGGCTAGTTTTGTGTGTTACTGGACACACTGCCTTTGTCCAAGTAGAAGAGAGTACCTTTCAGAGCTCCTTTCCAAAAGGAATTTTTTTGAAAAGGAAAAAATAAACCAAACAGCCACTTGGACATTTGTCCAAATTCAATGATTGTTTTTTATTGAATAGTGGCTGAGTTTCTGGGCACTGGTTGTCTGCATTGTTTTTTATCACTTGTACGGTACCTCTAGGTGTTCAGAGCTCTTCGCCCTTACTTATCAATTATTCATGTTGTGTGTAGCTGTGTTAGAGTGTAGACAATTTTCTTTCATGAGAGTAAGCTTGTAATTTGATGTGCCATAAACGTTGTAGAAGGTATTAAATGGTTTTTAAAAGGCATTTAGTATTACTGCCATCATAATACATATAAAAGTGGGCTTTACATCTAAATAACTATGGCTGTATAAACTGTACACTGATTCTCATCTTTTCAAGGCATTTCAGACCACGGAGAATTAAGTGTTAGGATTGCTTGCATGTAATAAAATGGTGATAATTGACTAAAATACAAATTCTTTTTTTTTTCTTTTTTTGCTTCTTTTTTTAGATTTAAAAGTTAATTAAAAAAAAGAGGTGATGATGCCTGGAGTTGGGAAGGCTTCCCCCTTTCTTTCCTTACCTGCATTTCTGGTGACCGAGCTGCTGTATCGGGAAGGATGGATTTATAGGTTGTACATTAATCCCTATAAAGGAGCTTTAGAGATTACCTAGAGTTCTAGACCCAGGAATCTTAGCTGTGAATATACCCTCGTTTAAACATCTATAAATACTTCCAGGAGCCCTGCATTATGCTTGACTCTGAGTATCCTTTGAGTAAGAAAATCCATGATGACAACGACTTCATGTCAGTAATGCTTTACCTTAATCTGAACTTTATTAATCAAATGTCCTTTTTGTGTATTTGGAAAAAGTTCATGGTTAATGTACTAGACACGGTAATCATCCCCCGGAGACCCTGCTTGAACCCCTTGCAGTACCTCAGTAGGACCTCGGGATTCTGTGCCCGCGGGATCTAAGCCTCACTCTTCTTAGTAACTTCTGAAGAGTCATGCGTGCAGGGCGATGTCTGCATCAAACAAGTCACGATGTATTTTTCTGGTTTTTTTTTTTTTTTTTTGGTGTAAAAATGTGACATGACTTTTTGATGACCCATAGTTCCACATCAGCCCTCTGTCTGCTAACCTACTCTGTCTCTCCCTTGGGGCACCGAAATGCTGATCATCTCATTTTGCAATTGAGCAGACTAAGGCTTAGATGAAGTGGCTCCTCAGAGATCAAACACTCAGGGAGCAGTGGCCTCTGCGTACCATAAGACAGAAAGCCACTTTCCATGACTTCAGCATTCCTTCGGAAGGGACTGCTTGGGCTGAGTGTTTGTGTCCGCCCCCTGAAATTCAGGTGTGAACCTCTAATCCCTGGGTGATGGTCTGTAGCAGTGGGGCCCATGGGAAGTAATCAGTCCCTGAGGTAGGAGTCCTAGCATATGGAATTAGTGCCCTTGATGAGAACCTCAGAGTACTGGCTTGCTCTCTTTCTGCCTGTGAGGTTGGAAGGAGCATTTGGCAGCCCGCAACCCTGAAGAGGGCCCTCACCAGAACCCCGGCTATGCCAGTACCCTGCTTTTGGGCAGCCAGCCTTCAGAACTGAGAAATCAGTGTCTGTTGTTTGGAAAACACCCAGTCCATGGTTCTTCATTATGGTGGCCTGGATTAAAATAGGGAGCTTGAAAACGGTGTAAATTTGAGTTTATCAATAATATATGACTTAATCCTACATTATTATTTCTGTAAATTTGCTATAGGGCGCGTGCGCTCGCCCGACAGACAGAAACATAGAGACAGAAAGCGAGAAATCACCCCCCGGGGGGATGTTCATGCCGCAATCCCTTCTCCTCCATTCTCCTCTTGGGATCTTGGGCATGCACGCACATGCGCCCGGTGTGAGTTTTAAGCCACTGGGTCCGGGACTTGAACTGCAGTCGACTACGTGGGAGTCCAGCGACATAGCCATTACGCTAACTGCTGGTTCCATATTTCTGTAAATTTGGAAGTTATTCATCTTGATTGACACTTTGTGGGGAATAGGGAAATGCAGAATACTTGTGACATAATAGGAAGACAGCTTTTTGGGGGGCTGTGTCTCTAGAGAGGCATTTTTAAAGGGTGTTTTTACTCTTCCAGTCTTAGGATCAAAATTTCATGAAACAATTTGATTATAATATAGCATTAATATGGAAAATGAAAATTTCCCCTGCTGAAGAAACTACTTTTTATTTCATCCTTTTCCTGAAAAATCCTGAAGGTATGTCAGTAACATTAAGTGGCAGGAAGAAGGCAGTATTATTATACTGAGAACCTTTTCA